AAGCTTTGTGCTGTTGTCAATCGCATCTAGCTAATGACTATATGTACAACTGCATCATATGTCAACGAAGCGCCCCAGCAGCCGGCGCAGCAGGATGTCGTCAACATCGATGCAAGACGTTATGTAGCCGTTCCGCGCGACTGCTGATTACCTACTCAGGGGTACCTAAAATGCAGGAAGCAATGCGGAAGGTAAAAAAAAACACCTTATCCAAAGGCCATTGGACTGACTGAGTGTACGTTGCCTCGCCTGCCTGCCTGGCATACTTACTTATTGTAAGGGGCCATGCGGTCGGTCAAACTTCTGGGTTTTGGTCTGTGCGTGCATTGTATCGCATCATGTAGTGTAGAAGCATTTGCCTCTGGAACTACCTACCAGACCGTTGGAGATTCCCGAGCGTATCTATCGTGCCTTGCATGGAGTTAACATGGAGTCAATGAGTTGTTCCTGCAGCATGTCGACGGCCTGGGTCGGATATTATATGTAAGCCATTGATGGCAGCAAAACTATTCTTCCAACGCACCTTCAAGATACCTACCTCCAGGAAGGGAATAATAACAAAGATGAACACCATTTTGATACCACTACCAACACCATAAACATGCTAGACAATGACATGCTAACGATACCAAATGCGAAATGACATCAGAAAACACCCCTTCTCTAGGTCCCTTGTGTCTTTTGATCCACAACATCCACCTCCTTACAGCCTCCCAGTCCCCTCCCCTCACTCACTAACTCCTAACCTACTTCTCCTTATTACTCTTATTCCCATCCTTCTCATTCCTATACTTCCTCCTATCCCCCCTCCTCATCAACACCTTATCCCTCGTCCCCTTCCCGCCCTCCCAAAACCCGCCCGTCCTCTTCCTCACCACGCTCCGTCCACAAAACGCACAGTTCTCCACCCGATAATTCTGCTCCCGCGAACACCACCCGCAAATCATCCGATTCGCCCACTCGTCCACATGATCCTCCGCTTGCTGATGACACTTGTCGCACGGATACACCTTGTTGCAGCAGCTGAACCTGAACCATCGATAAGACCGCTTATAGTGCGCGCAGGCGCCCTTGGCGGGGAGGGGGTCCCCGGCGTGCAGACCGAGCTTTTGGTCTTTACGCTTGGGGCCGGAAGTGGGGGGTAAGGAAGAAGAGGAAGAGGAGTAAGTGAGGAACTTGACGTCGGGGAGTTTAAAGGTGAAGCGGGCGTGGCATTCGCGGCAGACGTTGGTGGTTGATTCGCCTCTCACCGAAACGAAGCCGGGGGATGGGTAAGGGGTGGAGCATCGACCGCAGGTGGGAATGAAGGAGGAAGGGAGCATGTCGGATATGGTGCAGCCGGAGAGATCGATGAAGCCGGCGCGGGTGGAGTTGGCGTGGACGAGCTCGGCGCGGAAGCGGACGGTGAAGGATGTGGCGCATTTTTTGCATGAGGCGAGCTTTTCGACGTTGGATTTGAGCGAGGTCACGTCGTTGAGGGTTTTGCAGCGGTTGCATTTGACGGAGAGCGAGAGGAGGGTTACTTGGAGGAGCTCGATGCCGTGTAGCTCGATGGAGGGGAAGGAGATGGCGGTGCCGCGCTCGGCGGTGGCGGTGGGGAGGGCGGTGCCGGGTGTTACGCCGGAGGTGTTTCCGCCTTTACCGTCAACCAACTCGTAGTCGTCGTCGGAATCAGTCTCGGATTCTGATTCAGAGGAGCCATCGGCGTTGACGAGCGTCCACTCCAGAGGTCTGGGAATGAAATGTACATGTCCCCTTTCTCCATCAACCGCCGAAGCAACATGTTCCGCCTCCTTGGCCTCTTGATCCGCCGCCTTGTTCTTCCCTTGCTCCTCTGCAGCAGCAGCAGCAGCAGCCTGAATAGCCTTCTGCTTCTCCTGCGCCGTCTGCTTCGCCAAAGCATGCATATTCGTCGCCAAGTAATTCAAGTGGCTCGTCAAACTCATCTGCTTCTGTTCCATCGCCTTCTGCGTGAACAGCTCCTCCACCGCCTCAGCCTCGTCAGCATCCACATCATTCAACAACACCCTCAGCGGCTGCAGCGGATACAACAACGGAATAACCAGCTGCACCGAATGCACGCTCTGCAACCCCGGCGGCAAACTGCTCCTCCTCTTTGGATCCATCGGCAAGGTAAATATCACCCCGTCGCTCGACTTGTGATAAAGCGGCAATCCGCTCATCCTAGCCTCGAGCTGACGCACCTCCTGCGCTCTTCTTGCCTTGGCCTCCGCAATCTGATCCCTCGTAAAGTTCTCCAGCGGGATATACGGCCTCGGCTTCTCTTTTTCCTTTTCCTTTTCCTTTTCCTTCTCCCTCTCCTTCTCCTTCAACACCCCTTCCATCCCCCTCTCCCCTATGACCCCACTGGGTTGACCTTCCAAATGCCTCGAATCCTTAAACACCGTAATCTTGACCGTCTCCTTCTTCTCTTCTGCCAAAAACCCTTCCAACCCTCGATCCAAAGCATTCAAAACACTCAACAACGTTGTCGCCCCCTTATTCCCCTTCACCCGTTCCTCCACCAACCGATCCCACCCCCGTTCAATATTTACCGCAAACCCCCGCGGAATATCCTTGTTCCTGACCAACAACCTCGCCGGCTGCCGGGGATACTCCCCGGGAATCCGTAAATCGCATTCAAGCTTCTCCAAGTCATAGGGAAAATCCGGGTCAGAGGGCTTGAGAGAAAAAAGCAGGGAGGTCTCCCCGCCTGTGGAAGGGTCGATGGTTTCTTTTAAGGGGCTGAAACGGCGCTTGAGTTGGTCGATTTGGTATTCGCGCGGGGAGCGGAATTGGCGCTCGGGAACGGGTTTGCTGGTGATGCGGGAGGGGGAGGGGGTGTGGACGGCTTGTTTGTCGCGGCGGGGTGGTGGGGAGGTGCTGTTGCTGCTGCTGCTGCTGCCGTCGGGGTTGTTGCCGTTGGGTTTGGGGCGGATGGGGATCATCTTTTTTCACTTAGGGAGAGGTGTCCAAGCTTGAAAGTGTGTGTATGTTGAAGATGAGGGAGGATGGATGGGCGAAAGACTTTGATACTGGCACGCCTGCGTTTTGCGTTTGAAGAATGGTGAAAGGAATGAAAGGTTGTGTATTTGACAAAGAATGACCTGTGCCAATCGACGTTTTATTACGATTTGAAAAGGCAGGATCTGAATGACCGACGGCGGTTGTTGGAAAGGGCTATGGAGCGTGTAGTGATTATGAATCATAATCAATCATCCACCAAATTGGATGAAGCTGAATGGAGATGCATTCGCCGCTGGAGACGCTCGGACCACTAGTGGCGAGAACTTTTGCCCTTCCACGACTTTTGCAGTGTCAAGCTGCTCTTTGAACGTAACAGAACCATGTGTGTAGAATTGCAATTTGGATTAGAGTCTCTATTAACCCGTTCTACTAAACATTCAAACACTCTTGGAGTAGTAGCTTCTTGCCATGTCGACACTTGTTTCGTGTCAATATTTATCACTGACATCTACTTCAACGAAAGGTGGGGCAGGCTTGGCGCTTTCACGAGCTCACCTTGAACGCACAGACCAACTTCCACGGTGAGCCCCTTTTCCTGTCCATTGCCAAGGTGTGGCCGATGTTTTTGGTTTGTTTACATCCAACATTCGAAGACCGTTCCAGAGGTGTCTGGCATTGGAACCTTCTAGGCTGTCACGGCGGCATTCCAACAAGCCTCAAACATAAAAACACTGCAGTATTAGTCCCTGGTCGTCCACGTGGGCGGCCGCGTTACATCCATTTAACCGCTCTTCTGTGCTTGCGGTCCGACTCGCGCCCATGGATTCTCCCAACGAACCTCTTCTGAGATTCTAGAGTTGATGCTCAAAGCTTGCGACTCACAGCTCCTCGATCTCGATGTCGTCCTTTTACATCGACGCTAAGACAATATCAGTGGTGTTGCCAAAGGCCCGAATGTACGATAACGCGTCAGGATAATGGGCCTGAATCCTGCAAAGGTGTGGATAGCAAAGGATCATGGCTTTAAGGGACATTTCCCCGGTTAGGACAATCATCATGCATCGGTTACGGCAGGGAACATTCACCCCCACGTCTTCAACGTGAGTTTGATCAACAAAAAGCACCTCGCATCTTGCCAGGCCCGGATGAGCCTCCTGCTGGTATCAAACTATTCGAATGGTGATGCATCTACTAGTACAGTCCACTTGACTGGGCGAGAACGGTCTTGTCGCAATACCTTGGACAAGTTCCTGTACATGCCTCGATGTTTCGCCGATGTTACGGATGGCCGCTCGAAATATGCCAACCTGCAACATCATGGTCACAACATCGCGAATGACCTCCAGCTGCTCTGAGTGCGCGACCCAGTATCCACCACATGTCAACTGAGAGTCACCGAAATGCAGACTCATGAGCAAGAGCATCGTGATGCGGGCACAATACCCCACTTGTATCGGTCAAGCTCACCAAGCACGACCAGCACCGGGTGAGAAAGCTTGTTACCCCGGAATCACACACCCGTCTCGTATCTGAATATTATCACAATGTGATCAAGGCGTCGCGGGGGGATCGTACGGCATGCGCCACACAGAAGACCTGGCCCTGGCGCTCGAATCGGATCTCCATGGCGTTTCCATCGAGGCTCGAAATGTACAAGTGACTGCATCTGCGTGGCGTTGCCAACTTGCAGCGGATGGTGGTGAGATGACGGCGCAATCTGTACCAATCGAATGCCACGAGGCTTGCTGGTCACACTTACTAACAATGTCGCAACCCGAATATGCGAACTGCGAGCATGGTGGACAGAGAAGGTGGAAAGGGGAAGGATGGTCGGTCGAATGGGCCATTCCCGCGGCCGGCTTAGGTTGTTGGGGCCCAACCACGGAGGACGGCGCATGTTATCTGTCGGATGACTCCCCAGTTTTCCAGCTGTCCGCTATCGTCACTGATTGACGTTTCGTTCAGTGTGTCTGCAGGTGTTCTGAGAAGCCCAGCCGGAAAGCTGTCGTCACCCTGCCTTGGCCATCGCCCGATCAAAGAGTCACGCTGCGCTTGAACCGGCGGTAAACCGGGTGCGGTAAGGAAAAGGATGCGGCGCGGGTGAGCGGGGACGAGGTATGATTGATGGAGGTTCGCTTGATGTGGAATAATTCTGGGATTTGCACAATCGCACCGGCAGAGGAAATCGCTGCGCCGTTCGGAAGGCTGTCGGTTCGGGAGAGCAGCTCGTAGGCTAGAGTGTAGGAGGTATCGGTCAGCCTCCGCCGTAATGGGCTGTTTGCAAGCACCTGCTGGATCCGGGGTTATTGTCCGGGTCGCTTGTATCTGTATGCGGGAGGGGACGCGAGGGACTCACCGGTGATGGAAATTGATGAGTTGGCAATCATGGCTTCGGCGGTTTGCAAGGCCAGATGACCACCATTTCAAGCATTTCCAACGGTTGCGTGTCCGGCTGGAACGCAGTGAGGGTTGTAGCCATGAGCGGGTGGTGGTACTGGGCAGCCCCTCCTCTCCACACCATCATGGAGGCTGACGATGGTGGGATGGGTCGCGCCAGATAAGCTGCCCTGGCTGCCAAAGGAGGGACGGGACGGTGGCATCAACGGGACGGCGAAGCAAGGCCATGTGATTGCGAGATTATTCAGGATTGGATGGTATTTGGTGCAAAGGTGAGGTGTGGTCTGGTTCTTGTGTCGTTGACTCGGCAAGTTGGAGAAAGGGAAAAAAGAAAAAAGAAAAAGGGTTTTGTTTTTTTGAGTGAATATCGAAATATGGCCATCCAATCGCAATTAAACGGCCAAAGTGCGCCTCTGCGTAGTCGAGGAAGGCACCCTATCACATGGCGGAATTGTTGAGGAAGGAGGACGGAGGAGGGAGAATGCAGATGCACGCCCCTCCAATTCACTGCTGACTTCTTCCCTCTTTCTCAGTTCTCTGTATCAAATTCCTTCCACTCGACCACAAACGATCGATTGACAGGGACGATATTCCTCGCTTCTCGAACAGTGTATCGCATTCCAGGCAACACATCATAAATCGACAATCGATAAGTCGAGAATCGCTCAGCATCGACGAATTGCTCACGCCAAGATCCATCCTTGGGCTACACGGCGCTGCATTGCATTGCCGATAATATTATTTGGACTTGGGGTGCGTCAGGAACTCACGAACGGATACTACCGCAAGTGGTCGCCTCACGAAATCGACAGGCTCACGGTACATGTTCGACCGTTTTCTTCTCTGACGGTGTGCCGTCATGGGTACTTGAAGGTACGGGGATTTTTTCTTTATTCTTTTTCTTTCATTCTTTTCAAATTGTTCTTGGCCAAAGACACAACTCTCCTTTAAATTATCCCCATGTGTTGATCTAATTCCACCTCGTCGTAGCACCCCTCAACCCATCCCTCCCCCTGACCTTAAATCTCGTGGACATCCCCCACATGCATTTTACCAGCCGCCCGTCACCTTACACACCCTCTTCCACTTCCACATCTCTATCCAACGGCGCGAACATTAGAAACAGCCGAAATGCCCACCCATCCACACCCACTTTCTCATCTTCTGGATCGGAAGACAAAAACCCTTTTTCCTTCCAGAAGACCAAGCGGGCCTTCTAAACAGGTCTCATATGGACCCTATCTATGTCACCCACCTCGAGGTCCAGCCTCTCCCCGACGTCCACATCACCCAGCCTTGACTCAGATACCCTCCATTAATTCCTGGACCCTTGTGTCATATCTCATTGTTCTCATACAGTAAACAACAGGGAAGGAGAACCACCTCAGGACTGCTGTGACCTCATCGTACCATATCCGCGGGAACAAAGTCCAAGCACGTGAGGACAAAGTGATGGGTACCATCGGCCTCACTTCTGGGTCCAGTCCAGTCAGCGTCTGATGTTCTAGACTCTCGAACGACGTCAACGTTAACCTCGTGAGTGTTCTCGCTTGTGGAAGCGAGCCAGTGCCCGTCGTACGTGTTGGTGATGATAGGAAAGAGGTCAAGCGGGTTGCTTGCAGTCTCATACTTCCATTTTGAGCTTATGCATACGCCGCTTTCATCATGTGTCTCTGTATCCCATCGTTCTCAACGGGTCATCTTATTTCTCAGCCAACCTTGAGATAAAACGAGGTGTCAGTCTTTGAGTCGCATGCTAGGTTTTATAAGCTCTTGACACAGACAAATCAAGCACATACGACCATACCCACTGGAAAACTCGGGATCCCGTCCGCTCTCCCATAGATAAGCCAGTGAGGGGCAGCTTATGTATGGGAGTTGGAAGGATATGAACCGGGTCGTTTAATCACGTGGTAGGGTCAAAAAACTGAACAACCACCTCCCATATCTATATCGTTCGGACGGAGGCATTACGGTGAGTGGGGAGCTGGCGCTAAAATGATTGATATAATTGGGCGGATTATGAGCAAAGTAGACCGTCCTGACACTGCGGCTAGATCTTTTACACGGGTAACACCAAGATTGCACTCGGTCAGAAGACCATTCCTGATTGGTTCTTCGTACTCCTCGGCCCAGTTATGTGTATGCAGATGAGAGCGTGGCAAGGGAATCTCTCGCTCTTGTCTTGCTTCATGATGGGCCTCCTTCATGTACCTACCTTAATCCAATCAAAACCATCCTCCCAATGCATTGCCTTCTCCTCTTTACCCATCCACTCAGAGCAGCTCTCCATTACAGTAAAGGCTGACCAACGCCTTTCCTTTCCGGGCTTGGCGCCCTGGGCCTCTCAATCATCTATGCCCAACATGTACCCAACGCGATACTGGCAAGGTTGACGCAGGTGCTGAAGATGAGAATGAACAGACAGCGCTGCATCAAGCGGCGATAACTGGGTATGAGGCAGTTGTTAAGCTGCTTCTTGATACTGGCAAGGTTAATGCAGATGCTAAGGATGGGGCTACACGGATAGCGCTGCATATAGCGGCAGAGAATGGGCAGGAAGGGGTAGTTAAGCTGCTTCTCGATACTGGCAAGGTTGACCCAGATCCTAAGGATAAGAATGGACAGACAGCGCTATATATGGCGATAGAGAAGGGGCATAAAGCGGTTATTAAGCTGCTTCTCGATACCTCCGCTTTTGCAAGAGCTTCAGAGATGAAGGTCTCGGCGAAGGACGTGATGGGGCCGGAGGCAGCAGGGGAGGCGGTGGTGGTGTGGGCGAGACGGACTTCCTCGTCTGCAGTCCGGCTGTCTTGGCCGACTGCACCGTCGTGGAGGGCGGGGGCGGGACGCAAAGGGTTTCCGGCAGAGGGGTAACCGGCGTCATGACCGGCGGTATCGGTTTGGGCGCCCCAAGGGGCGAAGGCGTAGACATTTCGGAGTTGTGGTTGTTGGGATATCGACCGTGAAAACGGCGATTTTTGGTGGTGTTAAGAGTTTTGCGGGCAACCTAGCGCTAGCACTAACACTTGGCGCCAAGACTTTTCGTTATAGGAGGAAGATTGTCTGGCATGGCACATGTGCAGTTAGTGTAGTGCAACCACATCACAGGCTAGCCCTGTGATACCTGTACAAAAACTACTCTTATAGATAATGTTCCGATATGGAAGATTATATCTGGGAGTGGTTTTTTCAGAGGTTTGGATAACTCGGCCAAAAACACTGCAGGCAGCAGGCGGTCACTCCAGGTACCTCATTCAGTGAGCCAAAGAGGAGGAAAGGATAAGGCCCGGAAGGGCCGTAATGTGTTGGCGGGTAGATAGCATAGGATTCAATTGACCGTCATCTTCACCTTGGCTACTTCGCTTCTTACCTTCTATTATTTATAAACCAAGTCACTGTCCTGGCCAGGTGCTTTGAGTGATCACCGTAAATGTTCGGGTACCTTCGTTATAGCGGTCCCCTAGTAGACACTTTTACGGTAGTTTTATATGTAACCGAATAGAGGCCTTCAGATTATACTGTATAGCAAGAAGTATTAAGATGAGCCTAGCTACTCCATTTCGACACAGTAGCCAAGGACGACAGCGTATAGGGATGCTCAGGCCCGAGGACTCGCTGCCGAGCCTCAACACAATCTTGCATCAACGCTAGGGCATCTTCATATCGATCTTGACTATTCCACGTAAAAGCAAGGTTGGCCATGCTCGTCAGCGTGTAGGGATGATCGGCCCCGAGCTTCGCCTTAAAAGTCTCCATCACCTGCAAGTCCAGCTTGTGAGGAGAAGAAAAGAGGAAGAGAACTAGATACATGCAGACCCAAATAAATACTCTGATCGCTCAAGCGACAGTAGGACCCACTCGTGGGTCGCTGTGTGCCAATTTCTTTACTCGCATCTCATTCACCTGGGCGAACGCCTTCAATGGGCTTGGTGCCCGTCCTGGCAAGGCCGGACCGGCACCGTCACAGGGAGGACACGCTGACCTTTATCCTCAGCGGCGGGGGCGTAAAGTCGTAGAACTCGCTGTTCTATTCTGGGTTATCACAACCAAGTTCAAAGCCCCAAGCGGAATTCTGAACCGGAGATATCGTAGTGGCAGTAACGACTATTCACAAGGCTGAGCTTCTTCCCATCAGTGAGCAGGGTTAATCCAAAAAGAGAGAGAGCATTTCGTCACCTATACGAACTGAATTACTACTTAGTGTGAAGTCAATCTTTGAGTACCTTCTAGCACCCAGTCGGAGGTACAAGCCGCATGTTAAATCGCGATCTCCCGCATCTAGACTAGGAGGGACCATGTAGCTGTGGCAACGCTACTACAAGTGTGTTGGCTCTCCCAAACACCATCAAGAAAGAGACCACTTATCCGATCGAGGAGAATCGAGGCTTCTACCATTGTACCAACTTTGGCTATGACTAGGCAGTCACGGGTTAATCCCGTAGCATCTAGACCGTACAGGCACCTGTACAAGGAGAATCAAGGGATGGAATAGTCTTGCGTCTTCGTAATAGAATACGTCATCTTGACAATAGTAGAAGGTACCAGAATTTACAAAATTCCTATAAATTTGCCTATCCTCCCAGAACCTTCTGGTGGCACGCTAGGAAAATAAAATAGAGAGAAAGGAATTGAGAACGACATGAAATACATTATATATCTTGCGAGAAGCCAATAAACTAAACCAGTCCCGATATACTGCCGATGGATATCATGCGTCCCTGGAGGTCACAACTAGACGGTCGGTAATTCGGTGGCAGCCAGAGTACGTTTTGGCCGTTGCAAGTAATCCAAGACCAATCCTGTCCCAAGCCATAGCTATAGCTCTCTGGATTATCTAGTACAACTTGGCTTTCGGTAGTTTCCGTATCTATTTTAATACGTCCAACGTTGGTACGTAGGTAGTGATTAGTAGGGTCAAACGAGATATCGGTCGTCATAGTACTAGTATTAATCGTTTGGAGGTAGTTTCCCGACGCCGGATCCCAGATCTTGACCGTCTTATCCTCCGAACCGGACGCAAGCCGCTGGCCATCAGGCGAGAATGCCACTGAGCGAACGGAGCGGCTATGGCCTTTTAGGGTCTGGAGGCAGCTCCCCGACGCCGGATCCCAGATCTTGACCTTGTTGTCGTACGAACCGGACGCAAGCCGCTGGCCATCAGGCGAGAATGCCACTGAGTCAACGGCCATGCTATGGCCTTTCAGGGTCTGGAGGCAGCTCCCCGATGCCGGATCCCAGATCTTGACCGTCTTATCCTCCGAACCGGACGCAACCCGCTGGCCATCAGGCGAGAATGCCACTGAGAAAATGGAGTCGCTATGGCCTTCTAGGGTCTGGAGGCAGCTCCCCGATGCCGGATCCCAGATCTTGACCGTCTTATCGTCCGAACCGGACGCAACCCGCTGGCCATCAGGCGAGAATGCCACTGAGAAAATGGAGTCGCTATGGCCTTCTAGGGTCTGGAGGCAGCTCCCCGATGCCGGATCCCAGATCTTGACCGTCTTATCCTCCGAACCGGACGCAACCCGCTGGCCATCAGGCGAGAATGCCACTGAGAAAATGGAGTCGCTATGGCCTTCTAGGGTCTGGAGGCAGCTCCCCGATGCCGGATCCCAGATCTTGACCGTCTTATCGTCCGAACCGGACGCAACCCGCTGGCCATCAGGCGAGAATGCCACTGAGCGAACCCAGTCGCTATGGCCTTTGAGGGTCTGGAGGCAGCTCCCCGACGCCGGATCCCAGATCTTGACCGTCTTGTCTAACGAACCGGACGCAAGCCGCTGGCCATCAGGCGAGAATGCCACTGAGCGAACGGAGCGGCTATGGCCTTTTAGGGTCTGGAGGCAGCTCCCCGACGCCGGATCCCAGATCTTGACCTTGTTGTCGTACGAACCGGACGCAACCCGCTGGCCATCAGGCGAGAATGCCACTGAGTCAACGGCCATGCTATGCCCTTTCAGGGTCTGGAGGCAGCTCCCCGACGCCGGATCCCAGATCTTGACCGTCTTATCCTCCGAACCGGACGCAACCCGCTGGCCATCAGGCGAGAATGCCATTGAGAAAATGGAGTCGCTATGGCCTTTGAGGGTCTGGAGGCAGCTCCCCGATGCCGGATCCCAGATCTTGACCGTCTTATCGTCCGAACCGGACGCAACCCGCTGGCCATCAGGCGAGAATGCCACTGAGAAAATGGAGTCGCTATGGCCTTCTAGGGTCTGGAGGCAGCTCCCCGATGCCGGATCCCAGATCTTGACCGTCTTATCGTCCGAACCGGACGCAACCCGCTGGCCATCAGGCGAGAATGCCACTGAGAAAATGGAGTCGCTATGGCCTTCTAGGGTCTGGAGGCAGCTCCCCGATGCCGGATCCCAGATCTTGACCGTCTTATCGTCCGAACCGGACGCAACCCGCTGGCCATCAGGCGAGAATGCCACTGAGCGAACCCAGTCGCTATGGCCTTTGAGGGTCTGGAGGCAGCTCCCCGACGCCGGATCCCAGATCTTGACCGTCTTGTCTAACGAACCGGACGCAAGCCGCTGGCCATCAGGCGAGAACGCCACTGAGTGAACGGAGTCGCTATGGCCTTCTAGGGTCTGGAGGCATGCATTCCAATCCAATTCTACAGCCGGCTTAGTTCGAATCCATTCAGGTTCTTCTGCCCTGAAATTCTTCTTTATCAAGCTACCGCTTGGAGCAAATATAAGCGCTGATATATATACTTGAAGTGGAGCTTGCTCTATTATTGACTTATAAGATAGAGTAAACCGGTAAGCATCCCAAACAAGCTTTGATAACTGCGATTGATTATTACCTCCCTATATCTTTAATTAGACCAAATTCCTAGTGCGGAGTTGATTTGCACTTACTAGTAGGCCCTCGAGCTTTCTAATAGCAACAACACCGGCAGGCATAGCTTGGAGTAGATTTAGAGCTTCGAGCCAGTAAAGGTACTTCGTCTTGAGGAATGTATAGACAACGTTATCCTGTAACGGATCGTGCCGTTTTGTGTTCGTGCCAGAAACAGAGTCACGCAAGTGATCAACCCAGTAGACGCACGAGTACCGCACCGTCGCTAGCGGGTCCGGATTCGGTACTTGGACCTTATCGTTCGGAAATCCCGGTGCCCTTAAGCCGTATATGTCGCGTCGCAGTGTTGTAGACATGGCATCAAGTAACCTCAGGAAGATAATATAGTGCACATCTTCTTTCCCTTTAGGGAAGATCCAGTCAAAAGCCTCTTGAGAAGCTTAGTTGCCAGCTTTATCAGAGACGTTGGAAAGCAAAAAGTCTTGGGCTGATTAATGAACAAAATAGATGGTTTGTTCTCGTAAAGTTAGAAATGAACCGCAAAGCCCTATAATATCTTTTAGAAATTCAAGATTGTTGCAAATAGTATTGGGCAACTCGGCGAGAGAGGCTAGTTCTTGAAGGCTAATTGGCCGGCGAACAATTGCGACAACAGCAAGAATATGCTTGCAGTAATCGGATTCATCGAACTGGCTCATATCCTCTCTCATCCGCGCATATAGAGCATCCAGTCCAGATGGAAACATGCGTAGCTTTTCTACGGCAAACGCTTTCTGGACTTTTTCAAGCGCTTGGCAGACCAACGCCACCCAAAGGAAGGTATCTTGCGCGTTAGAGCATAGGTAGTCCTGAACGGTCTTTTTCGTAATTGGGTCGTACTCCTTCAGCTCTTTTAGGTAATCCACCTTCTGCAGAATAAACGCATTGACAGCCGCTGCGACGGATTCCGCATTTAGCTCCAGGGAGACCTTCACTTTATCTGCGGCTTTCTTCAACCGTTCCTCAATTTGCGGCCAATTACGACTTGAGACGATCCACTTGACTCGAGATCCAGACGATGATTGCTGAGCAATGAAGTCGAGAAGCTGTGGCAGGTCTGTTGTAACGCACTCGTCAAGCGCGTCAATGACTAGGTAGGTCGTTCGGAGGCTTGGGTCTCGTAGGATGTTGGTGAAGATTCTCGATAGGGCGATCCACGTATTTGCATCTTTGAAGAGATTCTCGCCTGCACGGTCATACTCCTTCCGGACGTGTGAGAGAACAGATGGCTGCTGCTCTATAAGCAGGTAGATCAGACCGCGTAGTATGGCGGTTGCATTGTTGATGCGAGAGTCGGTAGCTTGGCAGAAGAAGTAGGCCACATTGCAGTGGCGCGCGTTGCCTTGATCCAGCTCATTGATAATGCCGCACAGCAACATAGTCTTTCCTTTGCCGGGGTCGCCCTTGATCCAGAGCAGTCGGTGCTGTAGGTGGTCACGCCACTGTTGAAAGTCAGCGTTATCGAGGACCCATCGATACGAGTCTTGTAAAAGGCCGCCTTTGGTCTGTTCGATGCGGACTTTATCATCACGAGGATCGGTAAGGCGCAAGTGCTCTAGGCATTTCTGGTCCTTCTCTGACATTGCATAACTAACGAGCTGCTTAACATCAGACGCCAGTTGCTGATTGTTGTATGTTTGGGCGTGATTGTTGTATGTTTGGTCGTCGTTTTGGAAGCAGTTCTCGGCCTCTCGGATAGCCCCCAAATCAGCTTTCCAGTCATCAAGCCTGATCATATCTCGCAGAAAGATTAGGCCTCGGTGGCGATAATAAGCACAAACACTCTTAATCTGGTAAGAGAGGAGTGCTTTGTAGAGGTCAACAATTTGGATCTCCAATTCGCCTCTAATTCCAGAGAGTTCGCTGATATTGTTGGTAGGATCCTTGAGAAGGCTATTCGACAAGCTCCAGTACCACTTCATTCTCTTAACAACGTAGTCGATCCCTTCGCGGTTGGCTTTGGTCGCTTTTATAGGATTGATGAATATCTGCAGAAGTTAGCATGTGAAGTATCATATCACGCTCTAAACAGACATACCTCTAAAACGATACAAATGCCGGTCCAAGCGAACGCGGCTTGGGGCACGGCCTGGATTGCCGCACTTACAATGTTCTTAACGGATAGAACAACGTCCACGACTTCGCCACAGCTCTCTTTCACTTTAGCCTCTCTTTCAGTCTTGGCTAGACCGGCATTGATAAGCTGAGTCATTTGGCGGCGCCTGTCCGAGTTGCTTTGGGCGATGATGTTCGGCTGAGACTCAAGCACCATTGAGTTGGAGCCATTTTGTAGCTGTCGGGACAGTATCTTCTCATATGCGTCCACCAATTTGACTTCTTCTTGTTTAAGCTCGTTATAGGCACGCTCCCAGAGTCGTGCAGGTAAGCTGGTAGTGGTGTCATCCGCGCCGGCGGACGTCTCTCTGTCGGCGGAACCAGTAGCTGGAGTAGCTGGGGGCCGTGGGGTGGACGTCTTTATATTAATGGAACCGGTAGCCGGAGCAAGTGGGAGCTTTGAGGCGGACGTCTCTACGTCGGTAGAACCGATAGCCAGAGCGGCCGTGAAGGGGAGGGAGGACGTAGAAGGAGTAGCGGGGATGTGCTGTGTAGACGTCGGCACCTCGAGCAGAGATGCAGGGCGAGACTGCTCTTGGTCCTTAGAACTTTCCCTATCCTCCGTATTTTCGTGTCGCTTGAAATGCGTCTGGAACGACGAGCGCAGTCGTTGACGCATCGTAGCTTTGAGGAAGGAAGATCTTGACTGTGGTGAGGATGCTATGGTTGATGATTAATGAATCGAGTTTATGAAAGTGCCGGGAATTCCTCTCTCCTGCCACATAGGATAAAACAAGGAAAAGAAACTAGAACACTGTGTTTTCTCGAGCTTATGAGGGAGCGGAACGTCTTGACTGCGATGAGGATGCTATGGTTGATGAGTGATGAATCGAGTTTATGGAAGTGCCAGGAATTCCTCTCTCCTGCCATCTAGGTCAAAACAAGCAAAAGAAACTAAAACACTGTTTTCTCGAGGTTATGAGGAAGCATAGGGCTCTGTGTTATCACCTTGCTAGGCGCGAGATGGCTGGCGGCTCCTCCCAACTACACGCCAATTACCCAAACGCCATTTCTTTTTTGAGGCTGGGCATTCATGGACCCGGAAGGTTGAAGGCGCCAAATCAATTGCCTGGGTTGGGCGAGCGTCGTGGCTTTCCGTCACCGGTCTACAGGATTGGCTCTCCACCCAGACGTTCTGACAGTATGGACACCTAGTCGCTCGTCTACGTGGCTAGTGCCGACAGCGTGGGATAACGCCTCAGGGGGCGCAGGCGACGTATGGATGTCGTATAACAGACCCAAGCAAGTCTTCCTCGCTATACGAGCTAGGTTTCTCTCCTTCGTAGAACCTTATCCATTCATTACGCACAATACCAGTGCCAACTCTACTATCATCATTACAAAGTCCATAATAATCAAGGTTCGGCTACTGGGAGAAAGCTTGTTATGACCGCGACTGAGAATTGTGCTAATATATTGTTAACGTGTGGCTAGTGTCACAGGATTGCCTGTGACTATGCCTGGCACATCACGTGCATGTGTGTGACGAACGGCAGTCTGATCTGCCTAAATGGGATAGCTGACGGTAAAGACTATCAGAAGACGTTCGGTGAAGCCAAAAGGTTCACAACAAGTAGGGTAGCGTTATACTTGTCTCAATGATGAAGATCTATTGACTACTGCAGAACTATCTGACAATCTGAGTTCTCCAGTCGTCCCTTTATACTCTGGTGTCTCTAGTTACATGTGTCTAGCTCATGAGCCCTGAGCTGGCTCATCTTCATGAGCCCTGAGCTGGCTCATCTTCATGAGCCTGGCTCGCCTCCATGAGCCTGGTTCACCTTCATGAGCCTGGCTCGCCTCCATGAGCCCGCATCCTTGTCATGGTTACATTGCCCAGCCTTCGTGTGGCTGGTGTGTTCCCGATGGTTTGCCTTTGCCCATTATCGTCAGACCTGCGCACACCTCCCTTCTCCTTTCCTCGTACAACTACGCATATCCAATCTACCCCCTACCCTTCGCCTTGCCCCGTGATAGCTAGTACTGTGCCTTGTAACTGCCTTGTACTACCTTGGAGTACAGAAGGTTAATTGTTGAGGACACTATTCCTTCTACGGAATCAGTTAACTCAGTCCTGTCACGAGCGACGTGGTCACGAGAGACAAAGCTAAACACGTTGACTCCAGGTCTATAGTAGAATCACAAGATGAAGAGAAGAGGGAAACGTGCAAAGGTATGACAGGCTTGGGTGCATATACCAAGTGAGCCAAACTACCAAAAGATAGGCCGATGTTCTGCTTGCAAGGCAGAACACGGAATGCACACTATAAACCAATGTCACTAGATCCTGTGACAAAAGGCGCACCTGGCGCCCAGGGTTTCAACCCAGGGCTCAGGTGGCCAGTGCACGCGGCACGACATCACGTGCACGCCCCGCCGTGCCAGGACCCATCCGCCAGTCGGGGAGGATTGTCATTGACAAAAGATTCTGAAAGGGAAGAGTCAACTTCCGTAAGTTCTTCAATTTGGTACTTCTTCAGGACGGGTTCCACGTACGGCGAAGCCTCCTTTCTTCATTCCTCTAGTCTTGTAAATCTACAATTTCCTGCCGCACGTCAAACCCCGCTTCTACGATATGATATCGACTACCTGGGACCCGAAAAGATCGACTGAATGCTTGAGTATAAAGCGAGGTATTGTTGTTAGAGCCTTCCGCGCCTGCCAGAACATACGAGAAGATTCTGTCACTTTTGACTGCTGTGAATACATTCTGCGTGATATTGCTATTGCGGTTCCTCTAGCGTTACTGTTGAGATGTACGACAACCAGGGGGACTCCTAATATGATAGGAAGCAATAGGGAATAAATAATAAAGATTGGTGAGTAAACCAAGATCAATTCTTACAAAAGGAAAGATTGTAAAGGCTGACTCGAATTGGAGTTGTCCTCCAAGCCTGCCTCTCAGGATGCAAGGCGAGGTAGCTTAACAACCGCTTTATGCTTATACTGTGCCGCTATATGCATGAGAAAACACAAAATCGCCGTTTGGGTCTGGAAGTGATAACGGAACGTACTGGGCTGGTATAATTCCACGGCTCAAACTCGTCAACAACCATGCTGTCGCTGTCATTTGGCCCGTAATATACCTTGGAACGCACGTTTTGCTCTCTCCTTTCTTCTCTAAGAACGCATCTTGCACATTATTAACGGTGCTACGTCTAATGTATACTTGATTTGTCCTACCCTTTAGGCATTCTGTCGGCAGTGATTTCCTTTTATGCCTCCTGTGTTTAGTTCTTAGATTACAAACTACTATGGCGAATACAATCTATAATGGCGCAATTAGCAGAGAAAGATTTGTGGTTGGGCCTTAGGTCAGTTACGGCGGTATTATGAACATCCACTTTGCTAATAGAACCGGTCGAAGGAAGAGGATATTTATAGGAAGAAAGGGGGTTGAAGGCAAGGGAACGCATTGTGAAGCAGGTGATTGCCAGCTCGACCAAATCCTCCTCCTGCCCCAAACATCACCTGCTTCCTCATTCCCGTGGCCGTCGCCTACAATCTTCGGCTTTGGCTTTCCACTTCTTCACAAGCTCCCGTCTCGTCGCCGAGCCAGACGCGTGATACATGACCGCACTCATCTGGAAGCGGCTAGGCTTGGTCAAACCAGACTCGTTGGTGCGAGTTTATCCTAGGAACCTTATAGAAGACAGACAAGGGTTGCATACCCGGCTGGGGCGTAGCAACTCTGGCGTTCCTGGACGCAAGCTTTTCCTTGTCGATACAAGAAGCATCAGAATACTGGGCGGCGATCACGAACAAGGCCATTCAATTGCCGTCACCGGCGCTCTCATCCGGGCTCTTTAGGGTATGATCTTTTTTGGGATGAGAAGTCCTCATTCCAAGGGCGAGTGACTTTGGGTGGGCCAGGTCGGTGGGAATGTATTGGAATGAGAAAATTAGAATGGGGGTACTCCCCTCATTCTGACGTTTTTCATTCCAGCGCTCAACTTCCCTAAATCAAGGCCTTTTGATTGGTTGACCGTTAGCGCCTTGGCGAGGTACAAAGGCTTCTCATTCCGACTACATTTCAGCCACAGCACACTCCACTCGCCAAGGACCGGACTGTCTTGGCTGCGTCTGATAAGCTAAATAGGGTAAGGCGTTCCAGATTGTGGAGTAAATGTGCCACACCTAGAACGATCAAAGCTGGAATGAGGACTTCTCATCCCAAAAAAGATCATACCCTTAGAGTGATAACTATTCACAGAACAAGTTGCATTGGCGTCGACACAATTTGGGATATGGATCTGACGACAAGCATCCTACTGCCTTGTCTGGGTGATCTGGGTTTCTCTCTCCTTTCTTATTCATTCGGAAGACACCTTCTCCAGCGACTTACCATCCTTGACAATCACCCGTAACCATCTCGCGGAAGGCTCTCGATTTGGAGGACTGATTGGCCTCAAACTGGTCTTCGTTTGTAATTACTGACAATGACCAAGGTTTATTACGCCACGAAAGCCTCTTTTTTGTCTCTCTCTGTCTATTCTTATGCCTCTGTCCGTCTCCTTTGAGCTCCCAAAGACTGAAAGAGATAAAAGGGTAACCCCCTACGGCACCTGTCCGCTCAAAGCCTCCCGAACCTTACCCTTGCATCCCCTGCCTTCAACCCCCTATCTTCTTCCTCCCTCTTCCTCCCTCTTCCTCCCTCTTCCTCCCTCTTCCTCCCTCTTCCTCCTTCTTCCTCTAACTTGCTCTTCCTCTCTCTATCTCCCCTCATATATTATCATGGCACCTCGTCAGCTGGCCTGTATGTACAAACTGCGGGATCAAATCAATCAACTGGATTCAATCCCAACCAGGTACCGCAGCCTATTGGAGCATCGTCTTGTTATTGCGTGTAGTGAATTCAAGCGCCAGGACATGAGAGACTGATAGCCTCGTAAAGTCATTCGGCGTTGGTCCCGACTACTCCTTCTCCTCATTTTCACTGCCAATGCTCGCCAAAGCCAGACAATGGCGGCTATCAAAAGCTTATTTCACTGCCTCAGAAAGGCGCAACACATTCTCTTCTCTCTCGTAGGATTGGCGACGTCCTGTAAATCAAGCCTGATGTCAGCGTGCCACATCAACGTTTCGTCTTTCATGGATCAAATGCAGCTTTGATGCTGCAATGTAGGACATGCCAAAAAGGCAACCAGAGGGTTCAATTCGGGTAGCGTTTGTTTTGATATCCAGGCTTCCAGCCTCGCTTCGGGGGATGGGGGTGCTGACACGGGCCCCCACTGGGCCAGGCTTAAAGCCATCCCACCCTAGCTGCCGGCTTCTGATCCTAGAGCTGTGGTTGCCTTGTCGCTCTCAACGCCGCCGTCACCTTGTTCCGCAGCCCTGGCATGCAGCTCTCTCCGCCAATCGACTCGTCTACAAAGGTGTTGGCGGCTGTGCCGGCAGTGTGTTGTAAACTAACTATTATAGTTATAATACGCCAGGATAGAAGGGAAGAGGTAGGCTAATATATATAAATAAAGAAGGTAGGTTAAAGCAGGTATATGAAGGAGGTCTATCGTAATCAGTTTGTCGTAGTAGATCCCCAAACCGTGATCCAACAAGACAAGAGCGAGAGATTCCCTTGCCACGCTCTCATCTGCATACACATAACTAAGCCGAGGAGTATTAGGAACCAATTAGGAATAGTCTTCTAACCGAGTGCAATCTTGGTATTACCCATATAAAAAATTTAGCCGCAGTATTAGGACGGTCAACTTTTCTCGTAATCCGCCCAATTATATTCATCTTCTTAGCGCCGCCTCCCCACTCACCGTAATGCCTCCGTCTGAACGATATGGATATGGGAGGTGGTGGTTCAGTTTTTTGACCCTACCACGTGATTAAATAACCCGTTTCCTGTCCTTCCCACTCCCATACACAAGCTTAGTGAGGGCCAGACTAGTAGTTGGGTCGGTGACGACCAGCGAATCCCTGGTGTTGTATGTTTTTTTATTCTTTTTTTCGTTTACTCCTTTACCCTTTTTTTAGATTTTTGCCAAAATCTTTCAAGAGTGTTTCTCAAACTTATATCGTGCTGCCGCGGCATTGCTCGACTGTTGATATGGGTAACTGTCTTCCGCTTAATCTCACGTGCCAGATCTTTGCAACGCTGAAACCTCGGAAGGAACAAGCTATCGTACATACTGTCAATATAGACTAATGGACTATCATCATAACCGTGTTACTGCTCCTCAAAAAATCTATCCTAGACTACTATGTCCTCCAACTTGGTTTCTTATTCATTCTCATCATTACAATGCTTCAAAGTCAGTACCCGTGAGACAGTGAGTGACAAGTAGGTAGTGACACAAATTAACGGACTTTTCTTCTTCTTCTTCTTCTTCTTCTTCTTCTTCTTCTTCTTCTTCTTCTTCTTCTTCTTCTTCTTCTTCTTCTTCTTCTTCTTCTTCTTCTTCTTCTTCTTCTTCTTCTTCTTCTTCTTCTTCTTCTTCTCTTCTCTTCTCTCTCTCTCTCTCTCT